TGAATAGGGGAACATCTTACAAGGGAGGTCTTTCAGGGCAAGGTGCGCTTTTTGGAAACGGTTTAGTACATGTTGTAGGGACGCATGTATGGACCACAAAACCATGTTTCGTTTTCGCTGAACGGTTTTAGTAGTACCAAAAAAGTGGTGAATAATACTCTTGATGGTTCAATCCCCGCGGCGACTAAATTTTGCAATCAAGGTTGGCGGCCACTTGTTGGCTTCAAAATGGTCCTGACGATGAATTTGACATCTGATTTTGATATTTAGCGCGATTTGGCACCAAACCGTAGGCGCCAACCCAAATGCAAAATTTAGTCGCCACGGGGGATCGAACCCTTAACAGTACCTTATGCTTCTTTTTTGGTACTGCTATAACCGTTTCAGCGAAAATGAAACATGGTTGTTGCGTTCCCTACATGCCTCCCTACAATATGCACGAAACCGTTTTGAAAAAGCACACCTTGCCCTGAAAGATCTCCCTTGTTAGCCTCTCAGCCGTACGGAAAAAAAATTTGAATGTGAGAGGTGCATTGTATGGTATCTGATTCGCCAAAATTTGAGTGTACGATGGGATACACAGATCACTTTTCGCTAGCAATGTCTACGAAAAAATGAACAAAAAATGTGTTCGCAATCTGCGCAAACCACGTACGCCCCGCAATAATCGCGTTCGAGGGCCGGCCTGCACCACTTGGTGGCGCACGTCGTCCGTTACGGGTTTTTAAAAGCCAGATAGCGATTAAAAAATGCTTTTCACCCGAAACTTCCTATCCATTCTGATAGAATTTGCCGTAAATAATAGGAATAAAAGTTGTGTTGGCAAAAACCTTCAGACACCTCCATGCCCATGTAATAAGTTGCTCCATTTGAACGTTCACACAAATACTTATCTGAGAGATCCTAAGCTGAAAGAGCTCTTTCGCCAACTACCATACTAGCGCAGAATCCTTTTAACTTTCAGCTGGACGATATGGCTGTTGCGAAGGAAGATCAGCTCCCAGAACTTGGTAATGAGTTGGCCAACCAAATTTCGATTGTGCACAATTCAATTCTTTGTGCTTTGGGTGTACTTTCCGAATTTATTTGATATTTGCCCTGATTTGTTGTTTTTATTGTTGACAGGTAAATTATTGCAAATTCATAAATATAAAATAAAAAAGTAGTATCTGTAACGACCACCTCTGAAACTGAAACTGAAACATTTACCTTGCAATGATTACTTGTGTATCGAGGCTTGCAATCATTAAAGGACGAATTCACGATCAGAGGGAAAATCGAATTAGGAAGAATTCACCTGGTTGAGGGACCCGCGGAGCTCCTAAGTGTGCGAACTGAAGCACAATTTGCACAGGAGGAGTTGACCTCGTTGACCTATTAAGGTTTAATCCCGCCGCGGCTGGTCAGTGCACGCCCACCGATCATCTGATCACTCGCCGCAGGTCTATACGTGGCGAGTGATTAGATAGGTGAGAGAGCGTAGCGTTGAAGAGGGCACAGCGATGATAGTCGCATCAATGCTCAAATCAACGGGCAAGGAAGTGGTCCCATTTCTCAGGTTCTGGGCCGTTTCTCATGGTTTTTCCTTCTTTAGTGTACCACTCACCATCGCTAACTTAATTTGAAATGGGTAGTTCATTTCCTCGCTCAGAGTTGCTGCTCCGTAATGTCCAATTATGAGTCTTCAGCAGCTTCCATTTTTCAGTGAACGTCCTCTCACTAGAGAGTCGCATCAGAATAGAAGTCCACGAGGATGTCAACAGCTAGCTTCTAGTTAGAGCTCAGGCGAAAAAAACATGGGTCTTCCAACGCCAATCACATAAGCCTGTCCGATATTTACCCTCACTGCCGGAGTGTGGGGCACGTGCAGGAGGCAGAAAAAAAGCCCCATGGCACACTCGCGCAGAAACGCTCGCGTCCATTACGTGTTAGCTCGTATTTTCGTTAGCGGTTTTCCTTACAACGGGTTGCGCACAGATGCTAGTCATATTCCCTGGATATCTCTTTTTGTTAGACTCATCCGTTCTTTTTATACTAAACAATAAAGAACTCGTACTTGAAGACATTTTTATTGACTATTGAAAATTTGGCAAACGTAAAGCTGCCTCGGTCCTGGGAGTATACGTTATTCTTCACGATAGGGAATGTGCGATGGTTTATCCGGATCACTTGAAAAGCTATGGAAATAAAAAAAATCTCAAAACTGTGCGCCCAAGTGGAGCAAGCTGACACCCAGACCGAATTGACGTGCGCCCAGCTAGTAGCGCACGCCGTCCGTTACGTGTTGGGGAATAAGTTTAGTGCCTGCTACTGACCACTTTGTAAACTTGCTGCATTACTCGTCCTGCATAACTGTCCGTTCTGCTGATTGAAAAGAGCACATGACGAGCAGTGGCGTCATCTGGTGTACCTCGTGGATTGACAAAACATCTCTCCACACTAAATTGCCTCTTCATCAATCAGACGTCGAAGAACACTTGCAATTACTCTGCAACTTACTTGATCAGCTTGTCATTATAGCGGCTTCTTATCAACGGATTCATACTCCGTGGACGAGGTATAGCCTCTTCCTGTCTGGTAGCTACCTCAAATTGCTGAAAATCAACAAATTAATTCACTACATCGTAGAGTAAACAGACAAAATTGTCTGATTTGGTCCTGCATTTGAGATACTTGGGGGCCGCGACCGCGGTTTTGAGGACTATGGACTTTGTCAATTCAACGATAAACTTCATTACAACTGCTTCATTTTACGCACGACTCGATGGCTGTCACATCTGCCTTCTCTTTTATTGTGCTCTACCCCTTCCAGTAAAGGAGCATTACGCAATTCAAATTTGCTGGTTCGATGTAGTGCACGCATCTCAGTTTTGTTCCCTATGTCATTGTTCACTTTTCACGGCGACGCCAAGGGCGCCATAGCTGACTTGTGTTAGTTCAAATGCTAATACTTATCCCAATTCCTGAACCTAGAGCCGTGATAACCTATGAGAACCTACCTAAATAATCGTTAAGGTAGAGGTTTTGGTTTCCTGCAGTATCATTCTCTGATTGTTCGGGAGGTTGCTTGCCGGGACCACTCTCAGGCTTCTTTCTGTTAATAAATATTCATCTGACTATGAGTAGTTGCGCCTATGTAGAGGTTTAAGGGGAAGGTTTAAGGGTGGAGGGGGGGGGGGCGCTACTTCCAAACCTACACTGTTATGATATTCTTTTGAGGCGAGTATCGCGCGCCTTTGGCTTCAGTAGCGCGCCTCATTGAATGCATGAAAGAATAAGTAAACTAAATGAACAATAGCATTGTCACTAGGTTACCGCCTGTAAGTTCATGAAGAGAAGAGCATAAAAAATGCAATATAAGAGCACACTTACAGCAGAAGATGTCGCCATTTGTAACAGCTGAGCATATCCATCCTTAGTGTATGTCATGTTCAATGACATGATGGAAGTCGCTAGATCAGGAATATATTCCGACTGAAGTCTCGTTGCGAGTGTGTGCAAGCTTCAAAATTAATAGAACAATGACGCTCATGAAGAAACTCCAAAATCCAGTAATATTTCATGTTAGTCTTATTTTTGACTTGTTTTGTTTGTTAACTGCTGTTTTAACGCCGCAGTTCGCGTTGCGAATGTTTCACAAGAATGCTGGGTTGTGAACAAAACTTTCGCCCCAGGCGGGACTAGAACCCGCACCTCTCGCTTTATGTTTACTATGTTTTTCTTCCTGTTGTGGCTCACTATGAGCTACAGCAGAAGGGGAAAAAAAAAACGGGGGACCAAATACAAGAAACTATGAAGATAAAACAACTATCAACAGACTGACCTTACTGGCGGCACATTTGAATACAATGTACATATAAACATTTTGTTTAAAGGCACAACCCAGGCAGAGTTCGTGTGAACGCTTCTCTTCGGTCACTAGTATAGAACCCTAGAGGACAATCACAGATGTGGCGTCCTCGTGCACGGAAACCGACCGATAAGAGCGCTTGGGCCTTGCAAAGTAAGCTGCCCAAGCTGCAGACTTTTTTTTCTTATCAGGCTGTTGTCTGGCGCTCTCTCATCTGTAGTGCTCTCTCGCCTCATACTCTCCCTCCGCGCATAGTCTCTCATTCCCTTAGCACAGCCGATCAGGAAGGTGAGTGAGCCCTTAACCTAAGCGTTTTTGACGGATTCTTTTCCTTTTTTCTTTACTGCCGGCCCACTTCCCACCAGTACAATCACATTCGTGCACATGGGCCACACCAATGTGATCCTGGGGTAGGCCTTTAATGGCGATGGCTGTGGCTTAGATATCAGGCACATATCATGCCATTGTCGAGCGGGTTATCACGAAAAATTCTCGATTTCCTTCTCTCTGTAACGAGTCGCTATGCAAAGCCTTCTCTGCGTAAGTTCAGCATAAGAAAAAATGTGATGCTGCTGCAACGCGTATGTCAAAAGAGAACGTTACGATAAATGGAATATGGCCGAAGGAGACGTACGCGTCATGCAAGGACGTTTAAGTTCCAAGGAAATGAATGGAGACATGCATCACCGACGGGTGCTCCAGCCTCACTCCAACATTGGTCGGCGCCCGCTGTCGTGCTGACTCCCGCTCTTCCGCCGTTAGTTTCCCGCTTTGGCCTCGGAAGGATGGATCCATGTGGTTTTGTTCGGTTCATGTACACTAACCAGATTGGTCGGCAGTGCCCCCACCGGTCTGGAGGAACTCCATTATTCGCATTCTTGGTGCTTACGAGGTCGATTCCCCCTCTGTGGCCGCCCTTTCCACCAATTGGTCTCATTTGTAGCCGCGTGGTAAAGCAGAGGCGATAGATGGGAGCGAAGCATCAATACCAAACTCCCCACAATGGATCCGCTCTTCATCTCGATGGATATCAGACATCTACCGAGATATAGACGTCTTTTGTTAGAATGACGCTACAAAGACTCTCATACTTATCGATATCTGATTGCGTGAAAGGGGAGTGTCTTTCTCTCCAGCCTGGCTACTTACAGCACCATAGAAAGGCCCAATGGATTGGCTAACGAATAAGTAGATGCTCAGCATAGCCGTTGGTCGTGTCACCACAATTATCCACTGCAAACATCGACAGCTCCATTCCTGCGAACTACCCATATTTGTTAGCAGCTATTTATTCCCTTAGCTGCGTTACACGCACTTCATTTTGTGGACGGACAGACACACACAGACATACAGTAGCGGTCAAAACTGTTCGCCGAAACGATTTTTATGCTAGAGAGCTGTGTTTTTTTCTCGCTACAGCAGTCCGCTCCGAAGATTGATACTGTGTTTCCGCTAGTGTTTTTATCTCCTCAAGTCTTAAAGAATCATGATACTCGAAGGGGGAAATCTTCGAGGCCATTTTTTCTGGCAAAAAAAAGATAATTACGGAAAACCGTTTTGGCGACCACTTTCGATGGCCTACTGTGATATCCAAACCGACACACCAAGTACCAGTCTATATAATCGAAGAATAAGGGGTAAAATAGGATGAATGATTCCCTGAGCCGAGGGAAGCCTTAATAGAAGGTCACAGTTCCTGCAGAACCCTGCGCACAACAAAATTTGCTCAACATTCTTGTCAGTTGAGCTTTCCAGAGATCATAGCATTTGGAGAGTGACTACCTGAATCTCCTTGCTGAAATCTGCTTGATTGCTCTCCTAATTACACACTCGAGTCCGTATATTTGAACGCTGTGGTCAGCACATTCTGCGAAAGACTTCATTTCTTTCCCAACGCAGACAAGGGCGACTTGAAGGAATAGCGTGCAATTCCGTTCACTAACTTCAAGGACTACATTTTGCTTCTCACTTTTCTTTCAGATTGTTCTGTGATCAGTTACCCTGGTAGCTTTTTAGGGACAGTAGCACGGGGTATGCAAGCCCCTTGACCATTGCTCCAGATGACGTCGTAATGACCCACGATCGGTCGGCGACTTCGTTGATCTCCAACTTTACACCATGCTCCCATGCCATATTTCTTCGATGACCTCCGCGTAGAAGGCTACTATGAGGATTTTTGATAGACTGGATGTGCTCTTAGTCTCTTTCGGGAGCACTGAGCTTGGATCTGGCAAGGTGTGGGTAAATCCGTTTCAAATGTGACGAGAAACAATGCTCTCTATAGGCATCGGCACAACTGTATGGTAGCAAGCTTTGACAAGGGTTTGAGAATGCCCGGCGTTATTTGCGACCCATCCTAACAAATAGACAAATATTGCGAAGTAAAGCCCGTCTGAACAACTATCCGCAACGATATCAATTCTCAATTTCTGATGAACGCTTGATACTCTTAAACGCGAATCCTCGACAAAGCATTTTAATCCTATCTATATCATTTTTTCTTAGAAAATGCTCTTTCAATATTTCAAAAAGCACCTGTAAGGTATCGTGGGCGCATCAACTATTCGCAGAGCTAGCTCGATCCAGAATTGAGCAGTTGCCCTATGGATCTGAGAAAAACATTCGTTGACTGAAAGCATGCATGAAGAAAGGAAGTGTTTGAACACACGAACAGCGAAGTTGTTGACATCCATAAGATGTTCGCTGAGGAACGGCGTCTCGTACAAGGTGTGATAAAGCGGATACGTCTGGATGCTTATCCATGTCCATCCATGAGAAGCTCATTGATGGAACGCCTGAACCACGTTTTCTGAGTGCTCATCAAACAACTGAGGTCACATGGTGAGGCCCAAAGAAGTGCAGGGATCGAGCGATTTCATCGCTTGAAATGAAAGTGAGTGCACCTCCTAACAAAGTCAAAGGGCCAGCGTACTGCACATATCATGATCCTACTTTACTTTAAATTTTCGGTACAATAGACTGCAGCAGCGCTTCTTAGCACGAAATTTTGCTAACAGTATATAGGGTGAAAATCGTGTCGAGGACGCGATCGCAACAGTACAACCCCTCCTAAATCGGGGTCTTGATACGACCCCGAAGCAATGTGAAAGTCAAGTTTAGAGAACGACGGCCGATTCACGGCAGCTGCGGCGCGATTGTCACTGGGTCAGATTTGCTGAAACCCGAAAAAACCGTCGAAATCTACACCCTCGATGAAAAGGTTGCATTCCTCCATTTCATAACCTTTGAAGCAGTTGAGGTAGGGTTAGATAGAGCTGGATTTCGCGTTTCCAACAAGTATTGAAATTGCTCTGAAAGCCTTCCATGCAGAAAGATAGGGTCTCTCAAACAGCGTCGAGTCAGCGTTAATTTTGTGAGTCGAAAAACGACAGAACGTTTCAAAAGCGGAAGGTTTGCGCTTTCTAATAGTCGTTTAGCTTCTTTCCAGGTTCCTTAGTTGAGGAGATATTTGCGTCGAGGATCTATCGAGGACGATTTTTGAACACTTAAAGTCGCTCCCTTCTTCACCATTGCAAGTTAATTCGTTGGCAACTCTCTATCAACTATCAAGTTTCTCGCATCTCCTCGCTTTACATGCTGCGCATACACCCTCTCCTCCGAACTGCCGCCATGCATGCCACTGATGCCTCGTCTACTAACTCCCACAAGTACAAGCCCCCATCATTCCACCCTGACATTTAGCCGCCCCCGCCAGAGATTCCTCGACGATTCACCTTGAGTGTATAAGTAGCAGGAGTACAATATTCAAGCCAGAAGCTCATGGCTTACAGAGAACCAAACCAACGTGGGGGTTGCATTGTGGTTACTTGCTTACCCAAGTATTCCATAAACGATTTCTGATCAGATCCTCCAGAAGGAGTGGGAATTCGGGGGAGACCCGGATTCGAGTATCTTTCATATAATGCAACCTGAAACGCTATTGAATCACATCATCATATGAAATGGTCCAAGGCTGTTAAAATTTTCCAACCAAGCGTCAAAAACTGTTGTTCCGTTCACATCTTTTTCATCTTGTCTTGGATTTTTGATGTGCTTCGCTGCCTGAATGGCTTGGTCCTGGAGCGAAGGCACAGACTCAACAAATCTAAAGAGCATCATGAATACACCAGCCTAAAATCACTCTGACCGCTGCAACTGTTTGATTCCTGAGGCCAATCCATATTCAAATAAGCAACGCTCTTTTCTTCATGTGAGCAACTCCTTGTGGAAGTCTTCGACAAAAATTCGGATCGAACGAGGAGACCATATTCCTCAGATCCCAAGCAGCAAACATCAGTGATCGTGCTATCAAAAAGTCGTTCAAGAAAATGCATGGAGGTCGGCCACTTACTCACCTGGGCGCCATCCGGTTTCGTTCACCACTTGCATCATGGCTCTGGCCACCTCGGCAAGAATGGATGTGCCGGAATTGGGATCCAGCGCACCATATGTCCAAGCATCATAATGATTCCCAAGGATCACATAGCGATCCGGCTCTTCATTGCCGTGTATATAGCCGATTACGTTTCGGATTTGCCTGAAGGGTGTGCAAAAATGAGGCTCATAAGAAAATTCTGTTGTGTGCCAGAAGAGAACTGAAAAAATTCAAGATTGTTGGCAGCGCATCGAACAGGCGTGGAGTGAACACCTCACCCTCTTTACAGGTTTCACCAACAGGAAATATTTTGTGAAATATTCTCAAACACTCACTTTACTTCAAAGTGCCCATTAACAAGCATAGTTGTCTTCATGTTGTCCTTCAGACCAGGTCCCAAGTTGTAGGTGATATTCAGCCCTCCTAAATGAAGGACAAAAACAGTCGTCGGGTCATTAATAAATCCACTCTTTCAACCTTCACCTAAATACCATAGAACACTAGATCAAGAAATACGTGATTAGGAGGCATCCACTGCATCAGTCAGGTGTTCACCCTCTCAGACTAGACCGGTACGATTAAATGACCTCATAGCCTAGTTGGACTAGGTGCTATTCATGAATTGATACAGTTGCGATCAAAAGTGTTTGTCGAAACGTTTTTTCGTGCATTATGTTTTCTCACTTAAACAGTGCCATCAAAATATTAATAAGACAATGATTCGAAGTCTTCAAAACCTTGACTGTTGAAGAGTTCAGATAATTAGATAGAAAGGCTTCAAACTGATCTTTAGATCTTTCTTTTGTAGAGAAGAAATAAAAGCGTTCAGAAACGTTTCGGCGAGCACTTTAAACACTACCTGTACCTGGCACGGTGTGCCGTATCACTGTAGGGCTTACTACAGGTCACATTTCACAGCCGGATTTACTGAAAAATCATCGCATTGGAAATAAGAAAGAGCCGTGGCGAGTTTTTAGTTGATTTCCGCTATAGACGAGATTTGGCGTGAATCATGTCACCGAAGGAACGTTCTGCTCGGGTACCGCCAGGAGGCCCGTCGCGCGACAAGAAGGCGAGCAAGCGGACGAGTTGCGCGTGTACTGAAGGGATTTCGCGTCAAGTTAAATAAATGTTCATTGTACGTCTACAATCGCACATCAACGCGCGGCAACCGCCGCGCCACGACTCTGCCTTCTTGCTGCCCGGGAGGTATCCGTTTTGCTCGACCTCTCAGTTCTCTCTCGCCGCAGATGGTGATCTCTCACCATCAACCAATCACAGCAGGAGTTTTTCAGGAGAAGCGGGCCGCGCTACGGCAATTGGGGCTTGCGTGGGTTAGGCATGGCTAACTGAAAATGGCCGCCCCTTCACCGCGATCCATCAGTCTCTACTCGCTTCCTTGGGCTCCGCTTTTCCGCTTGCTCTCGTCGTCCTTTTGTTAGGCGTGGATCCCCTACTTTCACATCCAATTTATCGTAGTATCCTCCTTCCTGGCACGCTCTGGGACTAGGCAAGTTCACCTGTTCCATACCCGAGTGTAGTAGACAGGCGCTCAAGCGCTGATGTCACTCCCTTTCTGTCACGCCTTATATAGTGCACAACAAGGGTGCTAGAAGCTCGCTTGACTCGCAGACCACTCCTTCGTCCGCAAGCCCCACCTTCGCGTGCTCCACGATGACACGACACGAAGCTCGTAGCCAGCTTGCGGCAGCCGTTCCATTGCGGTCAATGTCATTGCACGCGAAGCAAACTGGTAGCAGACGTCGTGAAACTCGGCCCAACACGCATCCTTTCTATTCCAGAGAGTATGCGGCCTGAAATAGATGACGGTCCTATTCGCGGCGGGGGCATAATCGGCCGGTTCTCTTGCTTTTTTTCCGGACCACTCCCCCACCTCCACGTTCATTTATTGAGCATATTCCACAATTTATTTTCATCCCCGAACTTGCTTTGTATAACGCGTTATCGCATTGGTAGTATTTTCATTGATGTACCTGCCCAATTGATGGTGCAGGTGGACCGCCTAGCCTCGAAAGAAGCGCCATGGCGACGTGTACGAGATCGGGAGAGCAGGGATTGAAGGGAATGTCTCCATTTGCACGACCCTGAAGTAAATAGGTTTCATGAAAATTGGCCGCATTAAACAAAATAATTTGTAAAAAGTTCCGCGGCCTGAATAGGTGTGGGTTATGGCGACCGAGAATGAAAGCATTTTTGATGATTGACACACTAGTAACCAAAGGGAACAAAAAAACTGATAACTTTTGCGTGCTATGTGTGAAGCACCACGCCTGACTGGCTGTGTGTGTCTATCTGTCTCTACGCAGTTCTGTCCGTCTGTCTGTCTGTCACGAAATTTAGTAATACTTGGAGGACAAGCTGAAGAGATCAGGTCGAAACTGAACAGGTGGCGCACCACACACGATCTACGGAGCACACATGAGACAAGATGGGCGGGGCTAAAGTCAAAACTCGCAAAATGGTTCAAAAACTCAACAGAAACTGTTAAAAAAAGCGAACAAGTGGACAGCGAAGGAGGAGAATTCAGGTCCGCACGGTGAGCGAAACTTGCACAGATCACAAGTTGAAATTTTAGTTGCCCATTCGATGTACCCGTATCACGCACGCGTTAGGGTGCGAAGCCAAATTGGTTACATCACACAGCACGCTGACCGTATGAGCAAGGTTTGTGCATGGCCCCCATTTGATTCGTCAGCTCCTCTAGCTGTGGTTAAAGTATAGTAGAGACCTAGAGGGATAGGACACTTAATGAGGAGGGCGTGGGCGCCAGAACCCCTCCTATAAGTAACACTGGTGCTTTTTTATGGATTCTGATTTGTACTTTGCTTAGTGATAAATAGAGCATCTTTTTCAGAAGCACCACATTATTTGAACGCAGTAACCCACACCTACAAAGACAACGGCACTGACAGAAGAAAACTGCTAGGACTAGATAGTTTATCATCAAGGCGTGTGTTTAGCGATATGGTAATGATTTTCAAAATTCTGACGGGAAGAACTAACCTCAGCGTGTCAGACTTTTTTGATGTAGTCAGATCAAGCACCAGGAGGGGTAATTGTCAATTAAGGATGCCGGTTACTAAGTCTCAGGTCAGGTTCAAAAGCTTCGCCATTAGATCCATTCCTAGTTTCAACAAGTTGCTATGCAAAGACGTACTAAAGCTATCATTGGCTAGTTTCAAAAGGCTTATGCCTAGAGATTAGTTTATTTTCAGTTCCTACCTTTACATCCTTCAATTGTTCTTTCAGGGGTATCTTGGTACGTTCTTGCAGTATTAATTAGCTTTGTTTTGCTCAGTTTCATTTACAGCACTGTTCTGCTTTTTATTTCTAATTTTAGTATTCTATAGCACACTGCGTTTTTGTATCCTTGGATTTTGACTGTTACAAGTTCCATTGATTTTGTTGAATTTTCTCACGTGGCCATTGCTCACGTCTTCAATAAATAAATAAATAAATAAATAAATAACTATTCGTTCGCGTTTATGTGCCTTCAAAGTGGCGACTGCAGACAATTACAATAGCATCGCTCAAAAAATGACAGTTGGATAAACACAAAATTGAAATATTCAATTCCCAAGATCGAACAAATCCGTAAATAAGAAAATTCCTGTAGAATAAACATACTTTTAGAACTGATCACTGGCAAGCGTCCGCAGAAAAAATATTCGAACAATTTTAGGGACGAGGGGCCAGTGAAATTGATGAAGCTATCGCCAAAAAAGGCCCGCAAAAACTGGCAATCGTAAAAGGCTTGTTACTCCTAATAGCTCGTTTAAGGTGTTCGCCCTAAATGGACAAACCAAAGGAGAGTTTGCTAGCAGAGAGAGATAGAGAAAGAAATGAGGATACAGGAAATTAACTAATTCATTTCAAAAGATAAAGGTCGAAAAGCAGTGGAATCGGATCACGTTGCTCATGAAACCTCACTGAATTTTGCTCGCAAAGGTTAAATGAAATTCAAGGTTCATCTTCACCCAAATAGTGAGCACTGACCTTCTCCACCGATCCGGTTTTCCACAAGTTTGGCTTTCCAGCATACAACGGCGACAGAACGTCTCCATTGCCGATATGGAGCGTACCTCGTTGAACACTATGCTCAGGCATATACACGGTATTTGGGTACACGTCTTCTGAAATATTCACAAATAGAGGTGCGTCAAAGGACTGCGAAGAAGCTACGGAGAGATCCATAAAAATCAAATTTTGTCTTGTAATAAGAATATAACCTATGAAATGTTAGACTCAAGTTAATTTTCGGAAATAAAGGTGAAATTACCAACTTTCTAAGGTGCCGTTGGGCGCCACTTCAGCCGGATCCGAGTAGAGAATCGCACCAATGGCACCGTACTGCTGTGCCATTGCGACTTTGTTACCGCGAAAACTGCCTCCATAGCGGAGTAGAGCAATTTTTCCCTGTCAGAATTACCGATTAGTCATGGGGTATGGAGAAAGTAAAAGAAACCCTTTGTGAGAGAAGAAGCGCAGCATCACCTGGGTGGATGATGCAGACCTCAGCAAATCACGGACTCAACGATTATTACCCGTGCTTGGGGGCCAAACAAGACTAGCTGGAGGCTATTCTGGCACTCATGTACAGAGTGCGCCCACATGGAGTGCGTCGAATTGCGATTTTTACCCTAGTAACTTTTATAGCGTATACTGGCTACTAGCCTTCTGAAAGCTCTCCATCACTGTTTTTAGTCATACTTCATTGCTGACCCAATCACATATGGAAGATGAACCACTCGAAGTCTTTTGCATCCTTTAGATGATTAAACTTTATGTTTCCGATCTTTCGGTCGCATTACAGGGCGCTATCGAGGGTTCTCCGCGTCGATGGAATTGTTTGATGAAGATACGTCAAAATGCTGTGCTCAACACCCAAAGACGTTAACAAGGGAATATTCGTGGGTGTCCCAAGCATCCAGATAGAGCCGTTGTCGGGGCAGCAATGACCTACGGAACCATGTCCCACTTATTCTCAACAAGGAAGACACTGAAATCAAAAACACAAAATGGAAAGTTACTAGAACATGATGATACCTCTACAGTGGGTTTTCTAATGAGCCCCTCCAAGGGTTCGTTTGAGAGACACTGTTTAGAGAAGGCGTAACAACAGACAGCGGCGCGATTGGAGAGACAAAAGACATTACGTTTTCTCAACAAAATCACAGCTAGACCGAAGTACCCTCCCTTACAGAAAATGAGAAGAGCGTCGAGTGCAGACGGCACACCACAAGTTACGACGACCTCCGAGTGAATCTGGTTTGGATGAATGATAGTTGTAATTATTGGCAACTACAGGGTACAATCAAAACACAATTGCAGCAGGCTAATAATTTCACTGACAGAAAATATTATATTTCCATTTGTGGAGGCCGTCGTCACTGTGGCGTCTGGTCTGC